CACCTTAAACTGACTCACCTTAAACTGACTCACCTGAAATTAATTCACCTGAAACTGACTCACCAGAAACTGACTCACCTGAAACTGATTCACCTTAAACTGATTCACCTGAAACTGACTCAGCAGAAACTGACTCACCTTAAACTGACTCACCTTAAACTGACTCACCTGAAATTAATTCACCTGAAACTGACTCACCAGAAACTGACTCAGCAAAAACTGACTCACCTTAAACTGACTCACCTGAAATTAATTCACCTGAAACTGACTCACCAGAAACTGACTCAGCAAAAACTGACTCACCTTAAACTGACTCACCTGAAATTAATTCACCTGAAACTGACTCACCTGAAACTGACTCATCAGAAATTGATTCACCTGAAACTGACTCATCAGAAACTGACTCGCCTGAAACGGATTCACCTGAAATTAATTCGCTTGAAACTGACTCACCTGAAATTAATTCACCAAAAATTGATTCACCTGAAACTGACTCACCTGAAACTGACTCGCCTGAAATGGATTCACCTGAAATTAATTCGCTTGAAACTGACTCACCTGAAATTAATTCACCAAAAATTGATTCACCTGAAACTGACTCACCTGAAACTGACTCGCCTGAAATGGATTCACCTGAAATTAATTCGCTTGAAACTGTCTCACCTGAAACTGACTCACCAGAAACTGATTCACCTGAAACTGATTCACCTGAAACTGACTCACCAAAAACTGATTCACCTGAAACTGACTCACCAAAAACTGATTCACCTGAAACTGACTCGCCTGAAATGGATTCACCTGAAACTGACTCACCTGAAACTGACTCGCCTGAAATGGATTCACCTGAAATTAATTCGCTTGAAACTGTCTCACCTGAAACTGACTCACCAGAAACTGATTCACCTGAAACTGACTCACCTGAAACTGACTCGCCTGAAATGGATTCACCTGAAATTAATTCGCTTGAAACTCTCTCACCTGAAACTGACTCATCAGAAACAGACTCACCTGAAACTAACTCACCTGAAACTGACTCGCCTGAAACGGATTCACCTGAAATTAATTCGCTTGAAACTGTCTCACCTGAAACTGACTCATCAGAAACAGACTCACCTGAAACTAACTCACCTGAAAAAAATTACCAGGAACTGATTCACCTGAAACTGATTCAACTGAAACTGACTCGCCTGAAACGGATTCACCTGAAATTAATTCGCTTGAAACTGTCTCACCTGAAACTGACTCACCAGAAACTGATTCACCTGAAACTGACTCATCAGAAACAGACTCACCTGAAACTAACTCACCTGAAAAAAATTACCAGGAACTGATTCACCTGAAACTGATTTAACTGAAACTGACTCACCTGAAATTGATTCACCTGAAACTGATTCACCTGAAATTGACTCACCTGAAATTAATTCACCAGAAACTGATTCACCTGAAACTGACTCACCTGAGACTGACACGTTTTTTGTGAATCACAACTATGCCTCTAGCATTGAAAGTCCAAATGTCTAAAATTTGTCTGATAACTGCCAAGTCCCAAGACATTCAAGTCCCTATTCAAGTCTCAAATCAAGACAAAGAAGTACTAAGTCTAAAGATAAGTTTTTTTGTTCCAAGCCAAGTCGTAAGCCAAGTCATTCCAGTCCTAAGTCCCAAGTTAAGATCCAAGTCAAGATGTTCTAGTTCTAAATCAAGTCCCAAGTCAAAGTGTTTCAGTCAGAATCCAACACATTTTGCAGTTACCAGCCATCATCTTCACTTTTAATAAAAGCTGGGTTTTTTCAGTTTATTGGCTTCATTTACATAAAGATCAGTTTTTAGGCTCAAGTCTTTGACTAGAATAAAACATGTAAACAGTATAAAATAATGATTGGTCATTTAAACCTGTCTGAATGTGTTTAAATAAGATGAGCACAAAGAGTTTTGTTGTCTTGCAGCATTAAAGAACATGTCTAAAATTTAAAAATCAGATTTTTTATACATATTTGTTCTGGTGATATGATGGAAAGKTTCTACAGTTAATAATAAAAATACTTTAGTTTGGGGAACTTACAGTAAAACCACAGATCCAGTTGGAGACTGAGTCAGCTCCGACCCTGCTGGTCTCTGGACCGTCCCGTGGTCTGGATCTTCTTTAAATACATCAGTGACATTACAAACAGTCTGCTGAACACGAGCCTCGTCACCGACCACTGATGATTTGACTGACTCGTKTCTCTGACGGTCACATTTGAAGAGGGTGAAGACAGCTGGACCAGTGGAGGTTTCAAACATCTGGTCCAAGGATCCGTGGATCTGTCTCCGGTTCTATCCAACCATCTGAAGGCAAAACATCCAGCCTCACCGATCCTGCTCGTTAAGTTCAGGTGTCCACTTGTTTGTTAGCAAAATATCTCATGATTATATTTTTAATAAAACTTTTTGAAAGAAACGATGTTCCTTTACATCTCATATTCACTACTTTAACACAAAAATGTCTCAAACTCCCACTTAGCAAAAACTAGTATATGAAAGTATCCTTTAAGTATACTAATTTAAACTGAAAACAATAGAGTATACTTCCAGTTTACTTTTTATGTACTTATCTGAGATATACTTAAACAAGTTTATCTTACACTATACTTGTCTTGTTCTAAAAATATACTAAAAGTTTAAATATATATTTACTAGACTAATACCAATAAACTTTGGTGAATTGAAAGTACATTTTTGCACAGATTGGTTTATTTGTAGTATATTTCAAGATTAAACTAAAAGTACACTTAGAAAATTACTTTCAGTATACTTCTAAGTATACTTTCAAGAACTCAATGTGGGCCAATTTAGTCCAAGAAGTATACTTGTTGGTAAACTGCTAATATACTTGTAACAGTGTACATGGTAAGTAAAATTAAGTATACTAAATTGCATAAATAATGACACGTACTTAAAGTGTACTTTTTGGTAAGTTTATGAATTTAAAAAGACATAACGGTATACTTAAAGTATACTTTTGATCAAATTTTTTTAAAGTTCCAATGTAGTACGAACAAGTATTAAATCAGTATATTTTCTAGTACACTACAAGTACATGGTGCTTAGTATACTTGATATACTTATACTCACGTAAACCTTTTAAAATGAACTTTGAGTATACTACGTTTTGCTAATGGCAGTTCATTTAACAGACAATGAGCTAAAACTTGGTGCTATAGTAGCTGAAAGCTAACTAGTTGCCCCAGCTGATTTGATAGTTTTACCTTTTTCTTTTTCAAACGTTGGAAGAATAATCTTTCTGTAAAAGTCCACACAGCAGAGCTCAGAAGCTTACAGAGTTCCACTGAGAGTTCATCACCAAATGAGCTGCAGGTGCGCTGATTTCAACAGAAGTCTGGTGGGACGCTACCTGAACAGAACCCACATGGAAACATCCTTACAAAATAAAACAGGAAGTAAGAAAACAGCAGCAGAAAGAACAAGAACATGAACCTGTAAACCATGACACAACATGTTTAACCTCAAACATTCAAACACAATTACAGCGTCTCCTAAAGTCCAAACACACCAACAATGACTTGATTTGTTGGTTTTTGACGGGTTTTCCCCTCAGTGAAGACGCTTTATTCAGCAGGTTTGAGGAACAATAGTCGATGGAACCACAATGAAACTGGATCTGGTCCACAGAGAGGTTCTGGTTGGGATGCCGGTTTGGTTTAAGTCACCAAACTGAAGCAGACTGCTGGGAAAATGTTTATTGGATGAGGTTTGTGATGTTTTACTGTAAGAACAGTCAGTTTTATTTTTATTTTATTTTACCTTAAAGACAATGTTCAGCTTTTAAAAACTTGTTAGGCCACTGTGATTTTACTTGTGTTTTTTAACACAGGCCTCCAAAAGATTTAGATGAATCTAAACCTAAAGGAACCAGATTTTCTGTCAGGATGACTGCTGAAAATTATTTAAGCTAAAACTAACTAGATAAGGGTTTTTACGATGTAAAAACAAGTGTGCATTGCCATGTAGCATGTCATTGCAGCATTGGACTTGCAGAATGAAATGGGACCAAGTTCAAATGTGTTTTCTAAACCAGCTTGTACCTGTCACRTCAGCAGGTGTTTGTAATTAAGGTAATTGTGTGTCAATATGAAGTTTGAAGAGATTTTTTGTTAAAGTTGCTTTAGCTGGGTTTTGAACCCTGATGTCCCACATGAAAGTCCATGGCGTTGACCACTGGACCATTGGAGCTGTGGCAGATAGTGGTGGCAGGGGTTGGTTTGTATGTGTGCAGAAAGAGGCCACATTGCCAATACAATTATTGACACTAAACTGCATAATATTACAACAATAGAGCAATATTAAGATAATGATATAGTAAAACATCAAAATACAATCATATTAGTATTGTAAACACTGAACTATTGAGATTAAATATAAAAAAACTATGGTGCAGTACGAAGCTGAGTACAGCTGGGGGCAGTATTGGACCATTACAAGGCCCCATTGACTCCCATTTTATGAATTTGGAATAAAGTTTAAACATTAATATTTGAAAAACTACAAGTTGTACAGGTACCAAAAGGCATAGCAATCATTTGGCACAGGACCTTTACAGATAGAAATTACAATGGCAGCTGTAGGCAATGGACTTTCAGAATGAACTTTGACCAAGTTCAAATGTGTTTTCTATACCAGCTTGTGCCTGTCACATCAGCAGGTGTTTGTAATTAAGGTAATTTTGTGACAATATGAAGTTTGCAGAGATTTTTGTTAAAGTAGCAGTAGCTGGATTTGAACCCTGATCTCCCACATGAAAGCCCACAGTGCTCATCATGAGACTATATGAGATGTGGCAGAGGACAATCCCAGGGATTTGATTGTATGTATACAGAAAAGGTTTACCTTGCCAATGCAATTATTGACACTTAAGTGCAATATATTACAGCAATTGGACAACATAAATACAGTATTACAGTAAAACATCAAAATACAATCATATTAATATTGTAATCACTGAACTACTRAGTTTAAATATTATGAAACTATGGTACAGTACCATATTGTGTGGATGCAGTAGGAGGCAGTATTGGACCAATACAAGGCTGCATTGACTGCCATTATAATTTATTAAACATTAATATTTCAAAAACTATAAGTTGTACCGGCACCAAAAGGCAAAGCCATCATTTGGCACAGGGGCTTTACAGATAGAAATGACAATGGCAGCTCTGGACAAAGTATGCAGGAGGAGAAGCATGGCAAAGTTGAGATGACTTGGATGGGAAAAGAATCACAATTGTGTGCACTGCATTGGCAATGCACACTAATTACTTAAAACAAGCAGAGCAAAGGTTCAAATCAGCAAAACAGCTATTAAAGCTAAATTTAACTAAATGATATTGAGGCTATAATTAGCAAAACACAAGCAATAGCTGAAGGTAGCAAAACAAATGTAACAGCAAAATTGTAGCTAAAAGCTAAATGGATCAGAACAGTTAAAAGAAGCAAAATAGTGGCTAAAAGCAAAAGGTTGCAGAACAGATGTTTAAAGTAGCAGATACCTACAAGCTAAAAGTTTTAAAATAGTAGCTAATAGCTTAAATTGGTAAATGCTAGCCAAAATGACAGAAATATTTGCTAACAGTTAAAATAATAGAATGTAGCTGAAAAGTAGTAAAGAGTGAATGAAAGCCAAAAGATGCAGAACAGATGGTAAAAGTAGCAAATAGCTAACAGATTAAAGTAGCAAATGGTAGCTGAAAGGACATAACTGTAGCTAGTTAACAACTAAAAATAGCAGAATGGCTGCTGACAGTAGCTAAAAGTAGCAGAAATTTACCCAAAAACTAAGGGTAGTAGAAGGTATCATAATGGTAGCTAACAGCCATGAGATAGCAAATTCCAGCTAAAAATTACAATTCAATAACTAACAGCTAAAAGTAGCAGGACAGCTGACAGTGGMAAATCAGCAGCTAAAGGTGGCCGAAGCTAAAAGTAATAAAATGGTAGCACAAAGCTAGTAGCTAAAAGCCAAAGATGGCAAATACTAGCTAAAAATGACAGATTAATAACTAACAGTTATTACAGAACTGTAGCTAGCAGCTAAAGTAGCATAAGAAGACAGAGCCAGTAGCTGAAGCTGGAGTGTTTCTGTAAATATTTTGTTTTAAATATTGACCTTTGATGAACAAACTCTAAGCTCTAACAGGAAACTGAATCAGAGGTCAAAYATTCCTGTTTTATTTCTGATCAGTTCTCTCTTTAACACCGTCTGCTCCGGTCGGACCAGAACAGAACCACAGCTGCCCACCTTCTAACCCAGAAATAACCCGARGAGCTCCACCCGCAGACCAGACCACACAGCTGGACTACGGCTCCAGACCAGATCCAGGTTCTACGTGAAGCCTAGCTCCGTTCCCAGGAGAACCAAAACMAAATGAAGCCAGGGTTCGTAGAGGATCACAGAGAGGCCTGCAGCTTGTTTTAAAGAAAGACGAGCTCAGAGCTACCTGACAGGTGAGACGAGAGGCAGCAGAAACCAGGAACTGATCTGATCCGAAGAGAAACTCAGAAAAACTCTTTTCTGGTCCTTCAGAAGCTTCAAACATCTGCAGGGAATTAAAACAAATGACCATAATTTGCTTTTTGTGTCAGAACTGGAGCTGAATTCATGGATTTTATGGAACATTTAGTTTAAATTTAACACTTTAATCCAACAAACAGCTTAAAAAAACTAACAGATCTTTTCTGTGACACGACAGCTGAGAACTAAAAAACTACATTACTGATGAGAAGTTTTGCTAATGAGGAGGACAACTAAAACTATTTTTGTTGAAGGTTTGATTCTAAATAAAACTCAGATTAATCTAAATTACAGGTCAGATTACAGCTACAATAAATAAAAATCATAATTTCTTGTCTGAAACATGAAGCAAAGCAAACAGAACTTCTGCGATGATGATGATGATGATGATGATGTTGATGATGATGATGATGATGATGATGATGATGATGATTGACAGGGGAGTTAACGCCTCGGCCATCAGGGGCCCGGTCCAACACCTGGTTCTGTTTGGGCGTAATTAGAAGAGACAGATCTGAGAACCACCCTGAGTTCAGTCGTGTTTCTGTTGTTTTGGAAGAAAATGTGTTGAAATTGTTTAAAAAAACTGTGATTCTGTCTCTGCTGTTTGCAGATGTTCTGGTTCTGTTCACTGGATAGTTTTAGCTTTTTTCTGCTTTTTCCAGCTCTAATTCTGATCATTTCAGAATTTCTGCTTTTTTGTGCTTCTTTCAACTTTTCAAATTTAACTTGTATTAATTTAGACATTTTCAGCTCCGTTTCAGCAGCTTTCAGCTAAAGCAATCACAGCAGCATTTTCACAGGAAATAAAACTTCTCTAGTTCTAAATACAGCAGGTAAAATAA